AGAAACACAATTATGATTATTATTATTATTTTTGTTTATATATATATATATATATGAATTATTTCCGCAGCCATAAAATTTATTTCAGACTTTACAATGATGCTTACTTAAATTTGGTATTATTGGGCTTGTCCAAAAGTTGCATAATTTGCCTTAGCTCGTACGGTGTAGTATTAAATTTTCCCTATGGAGAAAAATAAATAAAGCATGTGTATAAATTGATAGTAGATAACTATCTAATCAAACAATAAATTGATAAATAAAAAAGAAAACAATAAATAAATAAATAATACTCCCTCCGTCTCAGATACCGTGTCTCTGTTACACTGTAGACACCGTATTTTATGAGGGGTATAATTAGTAGATAATTAAGAATGTATTAGTGAAAATAATTATCCTATAATATAAATAATTATAAATTAAGATTAAGATAACTAATTAGTTTAATTAAAATTAAAAAAATAAAATTTAAAATTTTAAAATAAGATTAAAGTGTTTAATCGTTTTTCAAAAATAAAAAATGACATGATACGTGGGACGGACAGAAACGGCAATATGGACATAATATCTGGGACAGAGGGAGTATTATATACATATAATAAAGTGTTCAATATTAATCCACGTAGTGTTAAGGGTTTCCATACATATATAATATACAAAATAAAATAATAATAAAATGCTTAATAGATGGCTTTGTATATACCCAGTGACGGATCTAGGATTTCGAATATGGTGGGTCAATAAATTAATATAATTAAATTAAATTTAAAATAAATAAATACATCAATAAAAATTTACATTAGAAACATACGAAACTTCATATTAACAATCTTATATATAAAAATAGTTAGAAGTGTTCACGACGGCTGGTAATAACATTTGTACTAACTTTCGTAAACACATCTCTTTCTAGAAAAGTAACGAAACAATCTTTTAATAATTACTCTATCGTGTTATTCCGTAATTTTTTCTTAATGATAGTTATAATTGAAAATGATTTTTTTACTATTGCAGTTGCTATTTTTTATTATTTCAACAAGTTTCATAAAATGTTCATTTAGATTTTTCAAAGCCCAAAATATTTCATCACATTGAAAATCAATAATAAATTTACCTAATAATAATTTGAAAATTTTCAATTTTGCTTCTGAAAATTTATATGATATAATTATGCAAGTAGTTGCAGTATCTTTTTATTAAAAGGGGAAAATCGATTAGAGGGAAAAAAAAAAAAAAAAAAAAAAAAGAGGAAGAAATCAATAATTCTTTTAGTGGATCTTGTCGAAAACCGTCACTAATTTATAAAAAAAATAAAACTAATATTTAGAAATATGTTTGTAATTTTAGTGATAATTAGTATTATTTTTAATTTTTTCGTGGGTCAATTAGGAAGTATGAAATATTAAAAAGTAATATTAAAAACAACAAAATTATGAAATAAATTTAATAAACTCTGTGCTGGGGCTTTTTATTTTATTTATTTATTTTATTTATTTATTTTTTATTATTATTATTATTATTATTATTATTATTATTATTAAGAAGTGTACATGAATGGAGGATATTGCAAAAATAGTTACTACTATTAATAAATCAAATTGATGAAGTAGCATATGCTGAATTTATTCTTGTCGACAAGTGAGGATTAATTAATCAATTAATTTAGAATCAATACTAAATTTGTAATGGAAGCCATTGTTTGATTCTTACAATACATGTGTGGTGTTGCATGGGTTTGGTTTTTATTTTAAATTTAAATTATTATATTATTTATTATTTATTTTATTTATAGTTCAATGAATTTCCTATAAATAATTTTTTTTTTAAATAATAATAAAATAAGTGGGAAGATAAATAGGAATAAAAACAAATAAAAGTATTTGAAAATTTGACACATGTTTTCTAGTACCACACGGTACGTGTTGAATGTGGTGTATTTATTAATATATATATATATATGTGTGTGTATTTATAGCTGTAAAGTAAAGGGGTTTCTACGAATAGGACATTTGCCTAACAAAGATCAACCCTAAATTGGATGCCATTTCAATTCAACTTGTCACATTCACAAATCACATATACTTGTACTAATTATTTATGTAATCAAATATCCATTCTAATTTTTTTACATAAAATACCTCAAAATTTTTAAATAAAATCTTAAAATATAATAATAATAATAATAATAAACGCGCAATTAGCCCAATAAACTTTCTCACCGCCCAATAATGATCACGTGGCCACAAGCCATAGAACACCGCATCAAATCTTTTATTTTCATTTCCCCTATTCTCTCTATTTTTTCTAATAAAAGGTTGCCATATGTAACGAGAGAAAAAATGTTATCTATTTTTTTTGTTATTATTTTATGGGAAAAAATCAATTTTTGTAATTCATCAATTTTAGTTCCAATATAAACAATTTCAATCAATTTTGGTCTCATTAGAAATAATTTCAATCAATTTTAGTCTCACCGTTAAAAAACTAACGAAAATTGTTGACATGGACATAACGGAAGTGACGTGACATTGACTTGGAAACTACACGGCCATGTACAATTATACACAGCCATATTGTTACATAGCTATATATATTTTAGTGTATAATTATACATGGTCATGTTGTTACACGACCATGTACAATTTGACACGGCTATGTTGTTACATGATCATGTATATTTCAATATATAATTATACATGACCATGTTATTACACGGCTATGTATAATTCTATACGGCCGTGTACCCTACTGTTTCGGTCTAAAATTTTATTTTTTTTGTTATATTTTTTAAAAAAATTTAGATAGAATTATAGTTAAAAAAGAAATACATAAATTTTATTTACCGTCCTCTCTCATCTATTGAAAAAATTGGTTAGAGCATATACAACGACACATAAATAGAAGGACTTCTCATCTGTCTCGAACCTTTTCTTATTCCCTTCGAAAAATCTCATCCCCACTGATCTAAATTTCAACCATAAAATTTCGATTAAAAATCGAGTCAGTCCTCGTGCAGGCGACGGCATCATCGACGGTAGCGTTTCTCTCTTCTCTCTTCTTTGCCCTTCTCTCTCCCCATCTCTCTTCTTTGCCCTTCTCTCTCCCCCCCAATTGCAGACTTTGGTGTTCTCTTCTCCCCAAACCCTTTTATATTCCCGTCGCCCACCTTCTTCAGATGCAATCGCCGGTTCGATTGGGATGAATCGCCGGTTTGATTGGGACGAAGGGTTTGGCAAAGATTGGGAGATCGATAGGGTACAGGTTCTCCGTCGCCAACTTCCTTCAAACGCCGGCAATCGCAGGTTTGATTGGGATGAATCGCCGGTTGGGATGAAAGATTTGGGGACAATTGGGTGTGAATATTGTGTGCGAGGAATATTGCGAGAAAAAATTACGAAGGACCGAAAAAAAGAGCTACTGTGTTTGTTTGGAAAATGAAAATCGATACATAAAACATTATAATTGACACGTAGGATACACGTAAGCAAATGGAGGGTTTTAACTTTCACACCGGTGTATGTGCTCTTATAGAGGATTTGATGCCATAGAACAGGTGGTTGTTGGAAACATGGCACCAGAGGATTGGTTGTTTAAACCCTTCAAATTAATTAAGAATTTTTAAAGTGGGTACTGCCCGCCATTTTAACGATTAAATATTACTCTCTCCCTATAAATTTATATTTATTTAATTGGACATGAATTTTAAAAAATATAAGTAAAAATAAATTTTTTTATAAAAAAGAAAGTACAAAAAATCGTATTTTTTTACTTAAAAAAAAACGATAATAAATTTGTATTACAATAAAAGAAAAAAAAAATGTGAATAAATTTGGACGACAAATATGAAGTATTTTTTAGTCTCATGTATTATATGAGCATATTTTGATGGTATTTTTTGTTTGTTTAAATGTGTTATTTTTCTAAATCATAACTCAATTCAATTCACTTAATTACGACAATTTTATACTTTATTTTCTGTTCCAGCTTACATTGATCTATATTAGTCGCACAAATAAATAAATATATTTATTGAAAACTCAGTTCTGTTGATCATATAAATAATGCTATCTCCATCACTTCAAAATTATAAAATAGTGAACTTATTTTTACGTGACAAACGCAATATTACATAATTTTTTATCTATAAAATAGAACTCATCAAATATATCTTTTAGATTATCATCAATCAACCTCAATTAAATTTAACTATATAAATATAAATAAATGGAACATAGTACGATATATGTATCTTAAACAAAATATTAAATTTAAATTATTAAAACATGCAAAAGCGAAGAGTTTGTTTATTTTTGACAATTATCGTTACATTATTCCATTTCTATATTTATCTAGAAAAACATATTATTTATATTACAAAATATCATATCTAAATCACTATTTAAATAAATTTACTTTAAAAATATATATATATAATTATATCCACAGGAAGAATTAAAAGTCAGGTATCTAATATATGTGTAGAAAATATATGATAGTAGTACGTACCTGCATGGTTTTGTGTAGAATATTTGAAAGCATTTAATAATAATTTTAAAAAAAAAATAAAAAAAAATTAATATTTATAAATTGTGTGGTGTAAAATGATCGTAAAATAGAAAACCCTAAGTTGGAACAGAAGACAACAGCATCCTAATTCCTAAAACATCGAGAACGTGTTCTAACATGGTAAAAACCTAAATTATAACCTTGCCCGTCTTTGTCGTCTTCCTCATTTTCAGATTCTACTAATCACATGACCCATTCTCTCTCTCACTCTAATTTAGGATCTCTACCGACTTCCCTAAAACCACCCCCCCACCCCCCATGTATATATATATACACACACAAATATTTACCTGAGCAAGATCACTGTGTCTCTGCAACTTCATTGTTTATTTACCCCTCCCTTAATACATACTTACAGCTACTGCCCCCCACTGTATCTCACTGTACATACAGCTTTATATATATATATATATATATATATTTATATACATACAATGTTGACAAACAATGATGGCTCTCCTTCCCCAAATGTACGCACGGTACATTTTCTTTTTTACTTTTTTACTGCTGTCAGTTCATTCTAGAAACCCTAATTTATTGTCTTCTGTAATTCTCCTCCATTTTAGGGCAATGGAAGACAAGACGGAGCTCATCCCCAAACAAATAACAACGAAGACGTGAGTCGATCTCTAGATTCATGGCTACCAATCACAGCCTCCCGCAAGGCCAAATGGTGGTACTCCGCCTTCCACAACGTCACCGCCATGGTCGGCGCCGGCGTCCTCGGCCTCCCCCTCGTCCTCGCCCGCCTCGGATGGTCCGTACAATCAATCATTAAGATCAATCCATTCAAATCCAATTTCCGATTGATTGATTGAATCTGCCATTGATCTTCTGGTTTTTAAGGTACCCTGGAGTTCTGGCGATACTGATATCGTGGCTACTGACATGGTACACGCTGTGGCTGCTGGTTCAGCTCCACGAATCGGCCGAACCGGGGAAGCGGTTCGACCGGTTCAATGAATTAGGGCAGCACGCGTTCGGGGAGCGGCTCGGGAACTGGGCCATCATCCCCCAGCAGCTGGTGGTTCAGGTCGGCTCCAACATCGTCTACATGGTCACCGGCGGCAAGTCCCTCCAGAAATGCTTCGTCTTCCTCGAATCCCACTCCGCCAACATTCGCAAGACTTATTACATCCTCTTCTTCGCCGTCCTCCAGCTCATCCTCTCCCAAGTCCCCAATTTCAACTCCCTCAAATTCATCTCCTTGCTCGCCGCCGTCATGTCCATCGGGTCCGTACACTCTCTCTCTCGCTCTACTGGTAATTAATTAGTTAATTTTTGATTGATTAATGGCAGTTACTCGATGGTGGCGACGGGGGCCTCGTCGGCGGTGGGGATATCGAACCATCTCCACAACAGGCCGGTAAACTACGGGTTTAAGGCGCAGACGACGGCGGCGATGGTTATGGATATTTTCAGCAGCTTAGGGTTGCTAGCCTTTGCGTTCGCCGGTCACAGTGTAGCCCTGGAAATTCAGGCGACAATTCCGTCGACGCCGGAGAATCCATCGAAGAACCCGATGTGGAAGGGCGTCGTCGTAGCCTACATCATCGTCGGCCTCTGCTACTTCCCCGTCGCAATCTCCGGCTACTTGGCTTTCGGCAGCGACGTCGAGGACGACGTTCTGATGTCTCTGGAGCATCCAGGATGGCTGATCAGCCTCGCCAATTTCATGGTCTTCGTCCACGTCCTCGGCAGTTACCAGGTCTTCGCCATGCCTGTTTTCGACAAGATCGAGTGCCTCCTCGTCAAGACCTTCCATTACACCCCCGGCCGGCGCCTCCGCGTCGTCGCCCGCAGCATTTACGTCGGTAAGTTCGAATTAATGAAATTACCAGTTCATCGCATCGATTTGATCATATTAATTGGATTTTCTGTGTCTGGTAATTGCAGCTCTGACTGGATTCGTGGGAATGCTTCTTCCATTCTTTGGGGGATTATTAGGGTTTTTTGGGGGTTTGGCATTCACAATTACATCTTACATTGTAAGTAAAAAGATAGATAATTTAATCGATGTTTTATCAATGATTGATTGATTTAATTAATTAATTAAATGTGTTTGAAAATAGATTCCGAGTGTCATCTGGCTGACACTGAAACGACCTAAACCATGGAGCTTCCATTGGACCGTATGCTGGGTGAGCTATATTTGTGCTGTTAGTTTATGTATTGTATTTATATTATATGAATGTATACGGTGTGCTGCTGCTAGCCGTCGCATATATATATATATATATATTAATTGATTTTTTAAATAAATAATTTATTTATTTATTTTGGATGCAGTTTTCAATTGTACTTGGCACAGGAGTTACATGTGTAGCACCAATTGGAGGGATACATGAGATTGTGATGCAGTGGAAGAGTTTTACAATTTTTTCTTAGTTACAATTCAATCAAAAACCCTAGAGTTCGATGGATCAATCATCAATCTATTTATTTTATCTTTTATATATATATATATATATATATAGATTGACTGTGTACTCAAATAATTTATTTTATTGATTTTTCTTTAGACAGCTAGCTAGCTAGATTGATAGATAGATTATATATATAGTTAGATGGATATATATATATATATTATAAATAGCATGTAAGTAAGTTTGAATGTATCTATATCAAGACTTACTTATATTTATATCATATTAGAACATGAGAATTGCAGTCGATATATATTTCGAGCTTGTGTTAATTTAAATATATATATATATATAACATGTAAGTAAGTTTGAATATATATAAATCACATGAGATTATTGCTCCATGTATAGTAAAAAATACACATTTTCTATTTTGACATATGAGACAAAATTGCGACAGTGTTGTCGAAGTCTTAGATCGAAATCAGAAATAAAAATGACGCATAGATATAGAAAAAAATGCATGTGAAATCACTTTGCTCGGCTCAAAATCAATTTGAATTAAATGTTTGATGACAAATTCGTATGAAGCCGGATGTTTGAAGAAGATAACAAACTTATAAACAGATTTATTCACAGCTAGATTGTTTGTCTGTTGAAGTTATTATTGCGATTTAATTACATCAAAATTCTTCTGTTTGACAAAACGAGTGTAATTAATAAGATCGAGATAATAGTTTGTTAAGTATATTGTTTTCTGTCTTGAGTCGTTGTAAATTTGGTGATATATTTTAATAATTCGCTCCTGGATTGGTATCCTCATAGTACATGTTTTAATATTTGAATTGAGTTGATAAATATCACGTGTTTTACCTACTAAATTATCATAATTTCATTGCTAAGAAATTCGAAAAAATTGGTCTAGTACATCATAATTTTCAATGATCGCGCGTGCACAACGCGAAAATATAAAATAAAATACATGACCAGCCACTTATCAAGCTATTAAAAATTTAAAAATAATAATAATAATAATAATAATAATAATAATAATAATATCCTATCAAAAAATAATAATTATAATAATAATAATTTAATTAAAAATAAAAATAAAAAGTTAGTTAGGTATCTCAAACAATTGTGAATCCCTTCATGGTGTCAATTATTTCACCTAAATGATCCACAAATATTAACATACGTAAATTGTTAAATAAGTAAAACGAGATTATGTAAGCAATGTGTCTAGCTCATAGTATTTAAATTATTAACAATTATAATTATATATATATATATATATATTTCAAATTTTATTTTATTTTTTTTATAACGATGGAAATAAGCAGCCGCTACCCGAAAGTGTGCACTAGTAAACCCCCGACCGAACCTAATACCCTGCAAATTAAATCCGACAGGTAAGTCACACTAGACGAACCATATGTGGCAGGTGATCTGAGGAAACGGTCACGAGTCCAACCCCTCCCCACACCACCGGCCATCCCTTACATGACTAAATTAATTTTGATGATTTAGTTAGATGAAGTCCTACTTTATCATATTCATCTTTTCATTTTTATTTATTCAATTTATTTTGTTATTTTTCTCTTTTTAAAGAAGAATTATACATTTGAATTTTATTTTAAAATTTCTAACTTACAATTTTATTAATCTTAATTATACTAATCAATAATTTTAATCTTAGTCTATAGTTATTTTTATTATAAAATTATTATTTTCATTAATTATATTTTTTAAATTATTTATTAATTATATTTTTTCTAAATTTTCGTAACTCACTGGACCACCGAGGTAGTAAAAATTAGGGGGAATGTACAAGTAAATAATTTCGTTGACCTAAGATGTGAATTACTATTTTTTTCGATTATCCTATTAATTGAATTTTTAAATATATACAAACGCGATGAATTCATGTACTGAAATGAATTTGCTATTTGAGTTGTTTTATAGGTATTTACTTTATTTTGTATTTTGTGTCAACATAATATTTGTATGAATATTAATAAAAAAATATATATATAATATATTCATACAATATAAAATATATATATTCTATTATTTTACAATAAATTAATATTTTAAAATAAAATATTATTTTTTATATTATCGATATAATTTTTCATTTTTTTTTTTAAAAAAAATATTTCAAACTAAAACAGTAAAACTAATCCAAAGTATTTCTTCATTTTTATTTGTTGAAAAACAATCTTACATTTAAAAATAATAATAAATTAAAAAAATATCTCATTAATATTTATTTATATCCAAATAACTATTTTGATTTTGTCACAAAAAAAAAAAACTTTAGATTAATAAAATTAAAAGTAATTTTAACTTGACAAATTTAATAAAAATATATACTATTAAAATAAATTGGTAATATATTTTACTATTACTATCTTTATAATTTATTTTAAAATTTTATGTATTCCTTCCGTCTCAATTTAAAGTATCATTTTTATTATTTTCGTCTATCTCACTTCAAAATATCTATTTTATTTTTTAATAAAAGTAATCATACATTAATATCAAAATAACCTAAACTTTTATTTAAATTACAAATATATCATTACATATCTATTTATTTTTGCATAAAGTCAAAGAAGAAAAGTATCAAAATCTTTTACACACTTCCGCTAATCAATAAAATATTATTATTTTTTTATTTATTACAAAAATTTCAAAAAGTTCATTTCAAAATGTACTGAGAAAGTATTACAGTAAAAAGTTTCAAATCATTTAATTTATATTTCAATGCTATTTTTAAATTTTAATTTAATTTCAATTTAATTGTACTATACATACTAAATGTATTTCACAATAACAAATCAAGGAAAAATATGATTGGAAAAATAGCAAAAGTATTTTTAGTAATGTCTTATAATACTAATATAATAATATTTGTATAAAAAATATATATATAAATATAAGAATATATTTAATATTAAGCACAATGACACAAAATATAAATGTAACTCTAGCAGAATAATGAAATATTAGTTTACATTTTTTATTTGAATATTAATTTAAATGTATTATTTTATAAAATAAAGTATTATTTTGTTTTCCCGTAAAGGATGGATTAATAGTACGAGGATAGATTGTGACCGTAGAATTATAGATCTATCAAACATAATAAGTATTCCTCTTTTATTAATTATTACTATCGTTGTTGTCGTTGAAATTTATTGAGTTTGAAAAAAATAAATAAAAATAAAAATTTGTATAAAAAAAATAATATTTTTAATTGACAAAGAAATAGGCATAATCTTGAATAATAGAATAGGTAGTTTATTACATTTGTACTGCATTTTACTACTTTTAATCAGGCCACCTTTCTTGATTAATGGGTCATCATTTGTAAAGTGCTTTTTATTTTATTTTATTTTATGTTAGATTTTCCGTATGTCGCAACATAGTAGCATTCCTTTTTAAGGTAAAAACGTTAATTTAATTTATTTAACACCCAACTTGTCCACTAGATATGCTGTTGCTGATCAATTTTTTTTGCTTTTATTTATTTATTTATTTATTTTTTTGAGTTATATCGTATTCGTTTATTTACTAAAAAAATATTATTATGAGAAAAAATTGAAAAATATAATGTAACTTCTTTTGATTTTTTATATGAATTTAAAAATAAAAAATAAAAATCAAATTTAGGTATATAGGCTCGTGATTGCGCTAACGATGTGGAACTTGCGAGTCTTTTGGCTTTACAGCAAATTAAATAATTATTTATTTTTAAAAAAATAAGATGAAAAATAAAGAATGATAATGTAATTTTCATTATAAAATATGATTAGTGAAAATTATTTACTTATTTTAATGTAAATGGAAATTAAAGCCGGCGCGGGCGGACGTTCCCACTCGTGTCGTCCAATTTATTTTTTTATTTCTATAATTTTATTTAATTTATAGAAAATTATGAAATTACAGTGACTGCCCTTTACCTAATTATCACAATTAAAATATATTGATAATAAAAACAACTTAATGGAGAAATGCCTTTTTATGGCGCACATGCTCCTCACGTGGCTCGGAGAGAGCGAGAAAATCAATAAATAATCTTACGTTGAAATCCAGCCGTTGATGATATGTGACTGTAAAAACGTCATCACGTGCGGTGCACGAGGTAGCGAATTTAGACACTCCACGACGCCGTACACGCAATCTATGGAGTATTTATTTGCACTGACGTCCCCCAAACACATACAAATTAGGATTAGAGTCTGATTTGATAAATATAAAACTCTTTTAAATACTTCTTTCGTCCAGTTAAAAAGTATACATGTTGGTACGTCCAATTATAAAGTAAATATTTCATTAAATACCTCATTTTTTTCACAAATTACCCTTAATTTACATCACATCATTACTTTTACACCAAAAAAAAACAAGGGCAAAAATGTCATTACACTATTTTTAACTATCCACTGTAATTAAAATACTATTATTTGTTAAACAACGCGCCAAAAGTAAATGTATATTTTATGTATGGACTGAGGGAGGGAATATATTGATCCATAAAAATAAAAGATTGAATTAGAGTTTATAATCAACATTTTATTATTTATTAAATTATAATAAAAAATAAAATGAACTAACACATTTTTATAATTTTATATGCTACTTTTTTATATTGTTATTTTTTATTTGTACAAGATCATTTATATATTTATTTATTAGCAATTTATGTTGGTCTCTTAACTGAAAGAAAATTACATATTATAGTATCTCAAACAATGAAAATTAATTTATTTTTGTTGATACAGTTTACTTTATATTTTTTTTATGATAAATATGTTTCTTATTGCTATATACGAAAAATTGCAAATATAAAAATAATTTTGTATTGAACTTTTGAATTATTGGAAATGTACATATATATATATTGTACTTTTATAATATTTAAAAAAATTATGTCACAAAAAATTATTGGGTTAAACAAACACAATGTTTTTAATTACAAACTCAATTTCATTACAAAAATTTCATTTTATTGACTCTTTCACATATTTTACAAAATATTATATTTATGTCGCAATTAATTAATATTATATTATATTAATTAAAATTTATGTTTTAACTCAAATAAATGTATAATATCACGAACTGGGAGTACGGTTTTTAGTATATAAACTCTATATAAATATTATACTCCATTATTGTTTTCTCTAAAAAGAAAATCAAATTTTATGACTATGTTAGACAATATTTTTAGTATTTTTCTATTTCGATTTTTTTTTTAGAAAAAAATAGCAAATTAAATATATATATATATATTTATAAGATATCGTAAATGTTTGACATTCTTTAATTTTCAAAAGTGTGTTTAATTGTGTGATCTGATGTTGGTTTCATAATTTCAAAAAAAAAAAAAATCAAAAATATGAAATTAAAAATTTATTTTTTATTTAGGAAAAAAATCAACTTTGGTCTCAATATAATTAAAATTAATCAATTTTGGTCCCAATATAAAAAATTCATCAATTTTGGTCTCAATATAAAAAACTCATCAATTTTTGTTCCAATATAAACAATTTCAATCAATTTTGGTCCCAATATAAACAATTTCAATCAATTTTGGTCCCATTATAAACAATTTTTATCAATTTTGGTCACACCGTTAAAAAAACTAACGGAATTGGTTGACGTGGACATGACGGAGGTGATGTGGCAGTTGACCTGGAAAGTACACGGCCATGTATATTTCAGTGTATAATTATACATGGCCATGTTGTTACACGACCATGTACAATTATACACGGCCATGTTGTTACAGGGTCATGTATATTTCAGTGTATAATTATACATTGTCATGTTGTTACACGGCCATATACAATTATACACGGCCGTGTATCTTTCTGTTTCGATCTAAAATTTTAATTTTTTGTTATATATATATTTTATTTATTTTTTTGAATTTAGAATAGTTGATATAGTTAAAATGGAAAAAAATAATAATAATAATCATAATAATCTAAAAAATTATTTATATTTGGACCAAAATTGATGAGTTTTTTATATTTGGACCAAAATTGATAAATTTTGGTTATATTGGGACCAAAATTGATTAATTTTGATTATATTGAGACCAAAATTGATTTTTTCCCTTTTATTTATTACATTACATTAAAATTTAATTTTTTATTCAAAATATTTATTCCAATTCAAATTTATAATAATCAAAACCAATACCTCACAACTAAACACAATTTATACAAAATTTATATTTAAATGAAGCTTAAGTTTGTTTGGTTTTTTTAAAAAAAATTAATTTAAATTTTTATTTAAATATATTTTAATATAATCTTTTATAAAAAAAATAATAAAAAGAATATTTCTTTTGTTTCAAACCTCCAAATTTTTATTATTTGAATTCTAAATTTCACAAAATATTCTATCAATTATCATTTTATACAAAAACACACATCAAATTTTTCTTAAAAAAGAGCTTATGACATCGAAAACAACACCACAATCAAACAAATTTCAGAGATCTTTTCCTAAAGACACAATTAGAAAACTAAAATAATTTGAGTAACGCTGAAATTTATCAAAAGCATAAATTAGGTGTCGGCTTCTGATTGGCTCGATTACAACGCATGAATCGAAAATTAATAATAATAATAATAATAATATTTGGATTCCGTTGAAAACGTTGGTTAATTGTCAATGTCGGAAAACGCGACTTTCATAACAGGAAATAAAATGCGCTTTTAGAAAATGTCAGGCACGACACTGCGTTTACATGATTGTGTCATTTACTAAATATTTAAATTTTATTTATAAATGACGGTACCGACCTATTGATTGATAAATTTCTTAATTAATTTATACATATATATATTATTATTTTATTTAGTGGGGTTGCATTATTTTTTTAATTACTTTAGATCTAGTGTTGATTTTTTATTTTATTTTTTATCTGAATACTATATATCTATACAAATATTCGACATGTATATAATATTAATCGTAAATTATTTATTATTATTAATTGGGTAGTAAAGTGTGATTAATAAATTTAATTTAATTAAATGGGGCGCCTAATAATCCAAGAAAACGTGATCACATCAAGGGCCATTCATTTAATCATACCTATCTTCACAAGTGCTTTTGTACTCTTTTATTGACTAGGAATTTTTATTTAAATAATTTTTTTGAATTAAATTGGACTTGTCACACCATAATTATGACGAGTTAGGCTAATGTTATCATTATCTGTATTGGACTTCAAAGCTTCATTCCAATGTCAAAAAAGGGAAGGAAAAAAAATAATTTATTATATATAAAAAGATGAAGTGTAAATAAACTTGGTTGTCTAACCACTTTTTAAATTTGATTAATTATAATTTATAAAAAATTTATTGATTTCTAGAACATGTCCAAATTATTCAATTTTTGTTCAATTTATTAAATAATTACATGTCGACTAATATTTGGTCATCGTAGTGGCCAAGGATACGTAACATATCTATGTTATTTTATTTTTTAAAAAAAAATAAAATTCAATTTTGATATAAAAAAAGGTTTCTTTTAAGGCCTAAAGCTGTGTTTGTGAAATTGCTAATTAGGCATTGTTGAACTATAACACAATTATTGGATTATAGATATATTAATGGTTATATTTCAATAAATTTATCAATGATTGTGAAAATGTTATATCTGTTACTTCATTCAACACGTTGAGAATACATTGTTCAATGAAACAAATATATGTACATAATTGACTTTTTAATCAATTTAAATTTCAAAATTTATTTTACATTAAATACAACATGGTACTATAAAAATAATACCCTTTATATATATATACTACAAGGAACTTAATTGGTAATAAATATGATAAAGCCTAAAGGGATTTTAATTTTAATTTTAATTTTAATTTATTATTTTTTCTTTTTTTCTTTCTTTTTTTTAGATGGAAAGATTAATGTTTATTTTCTGACGGCGGCCATCGTATATATGTTAATATAATACAAATATAAATACATGAATAAAACATATATACTATAGTTTCAACAATACATAATATTACTAGAGGCAACACACAATATTACTACAAACATTATATTGTATATGTTAATATAATATAAATATAACACATAAACTAACAACGCATGTCATAGTTTCATACAACACACAACAGTTGATTTTAGCACATGACATACTTGTATATAACGCATTTGTTATTATTAAAAAGCAGCACATACATTTATTATACCCAACATATATTATGTGTAATACTAATGTGTGTTGTTTGTATATATATAGCATACCTAAAATCAGCTCAGTAACCATACCGTTATTTCTTCGATGATGAAATTTTTTAAAGAAGAATTTTTTTTAAAAAAAATTATACTACTTCCGTCCGACTCTAATGGTCTCATTTATTTTTTATGTGTCGAATTTTCAAATATTAATTATTATATGAAAAATAGTACGAATTAAGGAAAAATGACAAAAAAACTTATATTAGTGTCTTATAATACTACTATAATAATATTCGTACAAAAAATATATAAATATAAAAATATTTTTAATATTAAATATAATAACGTAAAAGGTAAATGAGACTCTTAAAACCGAACCGAAACAATAATATTTTTATTTTTCTACTAAAAAAATATTTTCACCGGAAACGTGGAGACGCGGGAGAGCCACTTGTCCACGGCCAGGATTTCAAATACACGTGTCGCTACCGACTAATGCCGGTGTCCGGTGGCCCCTCGCCACCAGAGAAGACGCGAACATAAGCTGTAAGTGGGGCCCACATCGCCTCCACAATTTCTAAACTCTAAAAATAAAAATAAATAAATAAATAATATATATATATATATATATTAAATTTTGATTGAGTCAAACTTCAAAAATAGTTTTTGATTTGTATTGATGAATGCCATTAAGAATTGGAAAACGCATTTTACTTTCAATTCCCCAAATTATTTACTTTTTTTGGGTCTTTCCATTCGGTAAGTAACAATATGATTTTTGTTTCCTAATTCTTTTAAATCGCACGTGAATAATAAAATTTTACCATAATTTAAATCAAATTCTTTAGACAAATGTTACTGTATGAAAAAAATTAAAAATTAAAATCATTTATATAAAACATATACAGTATAATGCTTTTCCTTCTCATCCGAGCAGCTGTTTCTTTATTTTTAATTTTATTTACCTGAATATTTAATGCCTTACTGTTTCATAGGGAACTTCTCAAATCCCAACACCAGATCCATCCAACCGTTCATTGGAAGGGGCTATCATACCAACGGTTCAGATTGAACCTGGTGTTGAAATCCCGGCCCCCCTATGAATTATTGATTAAATCCAGAATTTATTTACTGCACTCCAGAAATGCTCTCACAGGGAATAAAATAAGAATATATATATAGTGTGAGAGAGAGAGAGAGATAAAGGGGTCGTCCAAGGGTAATACCCCAAAGCCAAACCTGGCTTTGATTTCCGGGGAGAGTCCGAAGGATTTCTCTTACAGGAACGGGAAGAAATGATGCCTGAATTCATTTCCTTTCGTCATCCTCACAACCATAAATACCGATAGAAATAGGGAAGAAAGGGGGGAGGATTATATGAAATTTACAAAAAAGATTTTCTGAATTTAGATAGTTGCACACATATACCTGTAAAGGAGGGGAGAAAGAAAGGGTGGTTTATTCAGATCAGTTCAATCAAGCTCTCCTTCTCTTCCCTTATCCTACACGTATACGTAAGTACCCTTTTTGTTTTTTCAATTTTGCCCTAACTTTCAAATTTTACTCGTTTTGTATTGTTAATTTTGTTTTTCCTCCAAATCGTGTATAATCAACCGCTGCTGGTTGGTTTGTCGCTTTTGCTAATGGTATTTAACAGTGGGGCGAAGTTTTTTATTCAATAACTGTATCGATAGATCTAATCCAGGTGATTAATTGGTGCTCTTGTTAAGAATGAAGTTTGGTTTTTTTTTTGATTTGATTTGATTTGTTGGTTTGTGAGAAGATTTGTGTTGCTTGATCTGAAATTATATGAGATCTATTACTTAAGCTTTCTGGCTTCCTGCATGCCTGAATTAATCAGAGATATCGAATAGGTCTTTTAATGGCGGTTTTAGGTGCTTGCAAATCTGGGGATTCTCTTATGTCTGCGTTTGTTGAATCGCCTCTTGCCTTACTTTGCTGTGTTCGTTTTTCTATTACATATATTGTTCTTATATCTTCAGAGTTTCCAATCTTGCCTGTAATGATATTGTTATTGGATTTGGATGGATGAGGATTAGTGATAAGCTTTTTCTTTGGATTGAAGGATTGAAGATTTCCATTGTTGATTTTGTGTAGGAAGTTTGATCAGTCTTTTTAGATTTTTTGCATTCTGATTGTCTTCTGTTTATGGCTTATGAATGATTTGAGTTTATGCCCCTCGAATATTGCAGTGATTCGATTCTTGTAAAGTCGAGAAACAACGAAGGCGATATATATATATATATATATTGATTTGTTTAGTTTCGATTGAGAAAGAAATGTTGGAGGATCGGCCTTGCTTGGTTTCAAGGGAATATTCTCGGAGTCTCGATCCTGACAACTGGCATATAAATTACTGCGCTGATAAAGTCGAGGTGCAGCATAACAAGCGGCCATTGGAGACGGATGGAGAAGAAGTTGCAAGAAAGGTACCTAAGCAACAATCGTCTGGTCAGAGTCAGATACAAACTTCGAGCCAAGAAAACGGCGGGGACAATTCCGACTTAAGTTTGTTAATTCCAGCACTTGACTACGACAACTCGATCAGTTGTCTCATTCGCTGCTCCCGGGCTGATTACGGCGCCATTGCATCTCTCAGCCGGAGCTTTCGCTCCATTATCAAAAGCGGGAAGCTTTATGAATTGAGGAGGAAGAGCGGGGTGATCGAGCATTGGGTTTATTTTTCTTGCCAATTGCTCGAATGGGAAGCCTTCGACCCGAATCGCCGCCGTTGGATGCGTTTACCGAGAATGATCCCCAACGACTGCTTCCAGCTCGCCGATAAAGAATCTCTGGCTGTCGGGACCGAGCTTCTCGTTTTCGGGAAGGACTTTATGGCCCACGTCGTTTACCGTTACAGTTTGCTGACGAACGCGTGGACTATGGGAACGTGTATGGACGAGCCCCGATGCTTGTTTGGGTCGGCGAGCTTAGGGGAGATTGCGATTTTGGCCGGCGGTTGTAATTCGCAGGGAAACATTCTTAGTTCGGCCGAAATGTATAATTCCGAGACAGGGCGGTGGAAGACGCTCCCGAGCATGAAAAAGCCGAGGCAAATGTGTTCCGGGTTCTTCATGGATGGGAAGTTTTACGTCATCGGAGGCGTCGGAGGAGTCGATTCGAAGCTTCTCACGTGCGGCGAGGAGTACGATTTGGCTACGGAGACGTGGACCGAAATCCCGAACATGACCCCCGTACGGAGCGTCGTCGAGGATCGGGAAGACGATCAACCGCCTCCCGCTACACCCGAAGCTCCGCCGTTGATCGCAGTTGTAAATAATCAATTATACGCGGCGGATCATGCCAACATGGTGGTTCGAAAGTATAACAAGGTTGATAGGAAATGGCGTACGATAGGAAGATTGCCGGAGCGCGCGGATTCGATGTACGGTTGGGGTTTGGCCTTCCGGGCATGCGGCGATCGTCTCATCGTCGTCGGAGGCCCTCGGAACAATGCCGGCGAGGGTATCATCGAGATTAATTCGTGGGTTCCCGGCGACGGCGAAGACCCTCCGCAATGGGAATTGCTCGGCCAGAAACGATCGGCAAATTTTGTCTATAATTGTGCTGTGATGGGGTGCTAGATCAGCTTCCGGGTTTGTTGTTGTACGCTGGCGATCGATAGGAATTGGTTCCGGCTCCGGCGATGCGCGGCGGCGCCGGAGCCTTGCTAATGGGTAGTTTCCGAATTCTGATTTTATTTTTATTTCGATTTTTTTTCGGGTTTTATGTCCGTTGGAAATTGGTGGATAGGAAAGATGATCAAAATTTATTCAAGATGCAATTGAATGTTTTCTTGAGATATTCTCGAGTACGAAGAAACATGTGTAACGATTCTGATTTCTTTGCCAAAGCTTTGTCGAACAAAATCACTAAAGAATTTAAAAGTATTTTTATATAAATAATAAATTAATATTTTTTTATTATGTAATATATTTTTATTATGTAATATTTTATTTCTTACAAAATGACATGAAAATTGATTATATTTGTATTAATGCATTCATAAATTTGAACTTAATTGATTTTTAATTTAGTATATTAATCTATATCATCAATCACATCATTTATTTTATAATATTTTTTTTAAAAAAAAAAAACTATCCTAAATAATTCTAATTTCAAAAAACTAAAATTTCTTCTAAAACTCCTATCTGCCCTCATCACAAAAAAATAAATTAATAAATAAAAAGTTGTTCCTGTTGAATAACTTGTGTTTGTAATTAATAAATTTTGTTGGGCCATAATATGTGCACATATTTAGAGATGGGCTTCTCAGCAGTCTATTGGGCCATTATTTAAAGAATTATTGAGCCCAAATAATATTATAGTGGTGTGAATTATGAAACTTTGATATATAATAATATGATAGAAAAAAAAATGTAGTGGTTGAGGCACAAGTGTGAAGTGACATTGCAATAATGGCAACCCATCTTCATTTATTGGACTTCTAATTTGGTTTTAAATTTATACACTATAGCTGTCCTTTTTATTATTTTAAATTGTTTTAGATTTTAAACTTTTCTAATAAAAATAATATTGTATATAATAAGAACAGCTTAATTATAAAATACTCATTTCTTCTCAATACAATTGTCTTATTTACTATTTTGTTTTTTTTTAAAACAATAGTCTCATTTTTATAAATAATCATATCATTGTAAAAGTACATTTACGTTTTCATTATTACAAAATTTTCATTACATTTTACATAATATACTCATAAAAACAAAAAGATTTTTCATCCATACTTTTTATCAATTATGAATAATATTATTATTCTTTAAATTTTGTGTCCAACTCAGCTAAATAATAGTTTTGGGACGAATAAAGAGTATATTGTTAAAAAATAAATTGATAATGAAAATAATAATAATAAAGTTTGTGGGTGTGCCAAGCAGAGATGTATAGTAGAAGTAGTTGTCATGTTGGGACAAGAATTCCCATGCAAAGTTGTTGAGGAATATTTATGGGTGTGGGAAGAGAGAGAGGGGGGGGGGGGGGGGGGGTGCGGGGCCGAAATTAATATCTAATTTAATTTAGATGAATTTGCCAATTTATATGTATCATGTCACATGCACCACCACCTCCTCTTTCAATGTTAAGTTTTATTGTAATTCCGAATAGAATGGTCTGATGGTGTCGGATGTATATATAACAATGAGATTATAAGTTCAAATTTTCGACATTTATCACATATGGTACGTCTTGTTAAACTTAATTTATACACTATTAGATTCAGATAAAGATTTGATCAGAATACACTTCAAAAAAATAATAATTACGAATTTTTATGATACAAAAAAATGTTAAAGTTTTAGAGTAATGGGTAAGGAGTGATTAAATTGATGTGGTGATTGGTGACTAGGGTTATTGATTTGAATTTTAATAATACATTTTCTATTGAATTTGTTATTCAAAACTTATTTAAGGTGACTTTCACTAAGTGTCATTAGATTTATTTTGAAAAATATTCCATGTAGTATAAATAAAGGTTATATGAAATTTGTTGAAAAAAATAAAATAGATCATTTATACAACCCTTTAAATAATAAAATAATAATAAAATTATGTATTCACTACGTCTCAATTTAGCTGATATTTTTTGTTTGTGATACGATATTTAAAATTTTGAGATTTAATGAATTAATTATAGTAAATTATGATACTACCTCCGTCCAGCTCTAAGGATCTCATTTATTTTTTTACGTATTGATCTTTAAATATTAATTATTATATCAAAACGTAGTTCAAATTAAAGAAAAACTGCAAAAATACTTTCATTAGTGCCTTATAATACTAATAGAAGAAAATTTGTACAAAAAATTATACAAGTATAAAAATATTTTTAATATAAAGTACAATGACACAAAACGTAAATGTAACTCTTACAGACGGATGGAGAAAATATTAGTTTATTTATTTTTTATTTGAGTAGCGATGTTGATATTTTAAAAATATAAATTTTTATATGTATAATTTTAAGAAATTAGAATATATATATTTTTTAAGTAAAATATATAAGTAAAATATATATAATATAAATAAAATTTTGTATAGAATAAAATTCAATATAATACAATTAAATAAAAAATAATTTTATTTATTTATAATTAATATAAACTATTTTTATACATATAGAAAATTTAAATGTGCCATAACAGCCACGAGCAAGAGGCCTGCTCCAACGCATATAAACAAAATAAAAAAAAAAAAAAAAAAAAAAAAAAAAAAAAAACTAGAGAATAACTTATTTCTTGAAAGAAAAAAATGATATAGGAAAAAATATTTTTAATATTTAACTAAAGAGACTCAAATGATAAACAATAACAATTCAAGAAGATAACTGATGACTTCAAAGAGCATATCCTTAGCTTGACAAAATTATGTATATAAAAACCATCATAATAAACCATTAATGGCATACATTGTTGATCTATATCGCTTGGCATGATCCAGATTTCATTGTTGAGATTATTAGCGTGTTTTGCCCTCTTTAAGCGGTAGTCTGGTGCCAGAAAAGCTAAGGCAGACGCCACAAGCGACAGCCGCCTCCGCTCGCAAGCGCCCAGGATACTTCCTGAAAAATACTAAGGCATGAAAGGCAAGCGGTAGCCTTCACAGCCCACAAGCGACAGCCTCTCCCGCTTGCAAGCGATAACCCAGACGCCTACCGCTGCAGATTATCACCAGATTCCAACTAAGTGTTCCAACTGCAGCGGTACAGCCATTTCGTTTCGGCCAGCACAAGCGAGCCTAGCTGTGCTGATGCCCTCCAGCTCTCCGGAAAGCGAGGAAGATCTGAGTCCTTACAGTTCAATGCAATCAAAGCGAGCGCCTGGGAGTTATGGCCAGCAACTGCTTCAACAGAATAACTACCAGCAACCGCCTAACTGCCCAGCGGTTGGAACCGCCCAGCAACTGTTTGCAACCGCCTCGTTCCGCCTGCTATAAATAAGGCTAGAAATCTTTATATAAAAAAAAGGGATCGATACTTCGATTTAAACACACTGTTAGCAATTACTTTTCGCATGTTGTCTCCGAGAGCTCCAATCCTGTAAGGGAGTTCTCCACGTGAATGGCCAAGGGAGCAGGGGTTCCTTCTCCCTTGCCAAGTTTTACAGCTTTCTTAGAATAGATTACTGCTTTCATTTATAACTTTGTAGCACTAGTCTTTCCCTGCTTTCGTAGTAGATAATGAAATATCATTCAGTTCTTTATGCTCATTTCTTTCACATTTTTTACACACTTATATAAAGTTTGAATTTAGAGAATTTCATTTCACTGATTTAGAGCAAGAGAAGAATTGATTATTTGAGCCTTGTTATGCGCCAAATGCGGTCTCAAGGTAGTTCAATGTAGTTAAGTACGCGGGAGCCTTGTCGACCTGCTTAACTACTATTCTGAATTCAATTTTGATTAAAAAGACGTACAGAAGGGTAAAGCCACTAACGAGGCAGATATTGAGAAAATTAACGGGTATAGGCGGTGGTCTATTAGGTCGCAGAGATTCCTAGTGACAGTAGGGTTTTTTTCTTATAATGTCTCGATTCCGGGTGTCATTAAAGTCTTGTTGTAAATCCCCTAAGGTCAAAATTCCAGTGTTATGAATTCTTTATATTTCAATTTATATAATTACATCACCCGCTTCTAACTGCTTCCGTAATATATATATATTTCTGATAACACATTTACATCACTCGCTCACTACATCCAGGGAATTCTATCCATTTAATAACGCACAGATCAAACACAACACCTCTCGCCCCACTCTCTGTCGCTCATGTATATACATATACATATATACGATGTGCCGCTCGCTCATGTCCCGTTCACTCGGTAACCGCCATTCATCCACGTCCCGTCCATCTAGTTCCTACTTCCGCTCATGTCCCGATCTTCTGGTTACCGCTGGCACTTCACCTTTCGCCCTCGCTTCGCTCACTTCCACTCACTTCATTTTTACCGCTTTACTTACTGCTTTCTATAGCCTAGCTTTTGGATCCGCTGCACGCGGATCCCTTCCTGCATTTTTCGTCGCTTTTTCAAGATTTTCACCGTTGAAATTTATGACTTAAAATCATTGTGCTCGACCTGAAAACTCACCAGTAAAAAGAGTATAAATAATTGTGATAACTACTTAGGGTCTACAACCACAACAAATTATTATATCCGATCGTTTTTCTATAAACTTCCACTCACTGATTTTCGAATATAAATTTCCTGTGGATTTGTATAAATTTAAATAATACAAATTTTGGTTATCATAATTTGGCGCCGTTGCCGGGGGTTTTAAACTCATGAAAAGTATCTTGGTTAAGGATCTTTTGAAGCGCTATAATTTACTCCTAATTCTATGTAATCGTAACTTTTGTGTTTTTACTAATTTTGCTAACTTTTACTTTGGTGTAGCTATCATTATGTAGGGGTTCGAACCGTTTTCAGCGTTCCACGAGTCCTACTCCTTCCGCTCGATCACAGAGACGTCTGTTCAGAGAGCAAGTGCGAGAAAAACTTATAGCAAACCGAACTAGGAGCCTGCTCCAACGCATATAAACAACAAACCTTCACATAAGATTAAAAAAAAAACAAACAAACAAAAAAGAGAATAACTTATATAAACTCCTGAAAGAAAAAAAAATGATATAGGAAAAAGTATTTTTAATATTTAACTAAAGAGTACACCAATGATAAACAATAACAATTCAAGAAGATAACAAATAATAGTAAATCGAGCAACTGGAACAAAAATATTTTTATAATCGATTTCATATTTCTGAGCCTTTGTAGCGCTCATTAGTAGAACGGTCAAATTTTATTTATTTATTTAGTTTTGAAAAATCATTTGCACTCGATGAAAGTGTATAAAATCATTTTGATATATTGCAATAGCGTGTGTTTTTTAGTTTCAAGGCAAAAATTTTAT